AGGATTTCAGTCCTTCACTGCGTAGTGTGTTACCAATTGTTTTCTTGGTAGCCAGAAATCTTGTTGGTTGATAGGGGATCAAATACTTATTTCACTCATTGACATACCAATCAATTTATAACTTTTTTTATATGCATTTTTCTGGATTTTTTTATTTTTTATTCTGTCTCTCACTGTTAAAATACACATACCATTAAAATTATAGACTGATCATTGCTTTGTCAGTGGACAAACGTTCAAAATCAGCAGAGGATAAAATACTTTTTTCCCTCACTGTACTAATTGAAGCTACATTAATCTTTAACTTTGTAGAACTTAACTGATCCATTGCCCACAGTACCTAGGAAAATGCTCTGCTCAATGGCATGGTGGATGAGCATAAAGTAGACTAGATGAAACTGTTTTTACTACATCTAAAATGTTATGAGAGAAACATGAGAAAAGCAAGGTATATACCGAGGTCTTGCATGCCTTTTTGCAAGTACAGTAATTTTTTTTTTTAATGAGATATGAATCTCAAAAGTGACATATTTGAGCTGATAAGTTCACTCTGTGGGCCTACTGGCTGAAATGAACCATTTGTAGAGATAACTACCACAGAGAACCTTAAATCACTTTTTAAAAAAATACGGGTAAGAATGTGCAAGAAAAAAAAGAATGGTATGCTTGACTAGCAATACCCAGATTGCTTTGCAGCTCAAACGGACAGTTCTGAACTTCTGACCTTACAGTGAACAGAAGGACTTGTTGGTTCAGGTAGATTTCGAAGTTGTTTAAAAATTCCGACGTTAAAAAGGAATCACAAAAAAAACAAAAAAAACAACACCCCATATCCAATGACAAAATATCCTGTGAGAAGATGAGGAAAAGAGGTTAATTCGCTCAGTGTAAGGTCATTCTTGTGTTGCCTGCAGAATGTTCAGAAGAAAAGGGAAGTATTTATCTTAATAGTGAGGGCTTATTTTCCTCATTGTCATGAACAAGACTAAACCTAAAAGTGACAGACTTCACCATAAACACCTGTCGTTGTATAGATCAGTTTCCTGGTCCTTTTTTGCATCTTAAAGGGAAAGTACACAGAATATCTGGGATACGCCACAGTCTGACAAAGTTAAACGTAATGATTCACAGTTTGAATATATACCTTAGAACAAATAAGTTATTATAGATAAAAAGAAAAATAAATAGATAGATATGGACAGCCTATCCGCATCTACTTGCCAGCTGATGTTAGATGGTGCCACTTATGATAATGCTGGACAATAATTAGTGTAAGTTAAAGGGACACTCTAAGCAGCACAACAACTTAAGAGCTCAATGAAGCAGTTTTGGTGTAGACATCATGTCACTGCTCAGTTATCTGACATCTATGAGTTAAATCACATTGTTTCTGCAGTCCTAGCCACAACTCCCTGATTGTCATGGAGTTTAATTTTAATTAAAAATGGTTTAATTTTCTATCAGATCTTACAGAACTGTGTGTTTAACCTCTTAGTGACCAGGCCGCATTTCAATTTTCTTACCGTTTGGGATCAGGGCTGTTTTTACATTTGTTTGTGTTTAGCTGTAATTTAGCTGTAATTTCCCTCTTACACATTTACTGTACCCATATCATATAATTTATTCTAAAATAAATTTTAAAATATGACGAAAAAAAATAAAAAAACACACTTTTTTTAACTTTGACCCCCAAAATCTGTTATGCATCTACAACCACCGAAAAACACCCATGATAAATAGTTTCTAAATTTTGTCCTGAGTTTAGGAATATATTTTGCAAGTTATAGGGTAATACGTACAAGTAGCACTTTGCTATTTCCAAACCATTTTTTTTTTCAAAATTAACGAAAGTTACATTGTAACACTAATATCTGTCAGGAATCCCTGAATAACCCTTCACATGTATATATTTTTTTAAAAGAAGACAACCTAAGGTATTAAACTTGGGGTATTTTGCCTCTTTTCGTGCTATATTTATGCAACCACCAATCATTGCCAAATTTAAAAACAATAAAATAATTGGTGATTTTTTTGACACACATTGCAATATAAGAATACATGTACTGAGAACTTTAAGGGTTACTGCCAAAGAACACCCCAATATGTATTCAGCAACATCTCCTGAGTACAGTGACATCACCCATGTATAGGTGTGTCAGGTTCTATGGGGGCTAAAAGACGTTATTTGGAGGGTGCGCATTCCAGTTTTCCAACTTGGAATTTTCATAGCTAGTCATCATGCACCTATGTCCTATTTGGGACATTTGTTAAGTCGGCAAATGTAATTTACCCCTATAAAACCATATATTTTTGAAAAGTAGACACCCTAGGGTATTTCAAATGGTGGTATTTTAACATTTCCCAAGCACTAATTCTACCACCAGACTTTGTTAAACTTTTAGGGAATCAATTTTTTGTGTTATTTTTCTCTCACTTTGTATAAGTATTAAGGACAGCCGGCGTTTAGAGCCACCGTAAAAAGGACGGCATAGAACACCCGCCGTCCTTAAGGGGTTAAACAATAATATGTGGCTATTGTTCAAAGGGACACTTTAAACACATTAAGCATCAAATCACTAAATTTTATGTGTGTGCATAGTATTTGAGCAATGCTTTTTTATATGAAGCATTTGTCTGGACAAGAGGCATCAGGATTGATGAATTCATGGTAGGACAATTATGCAGCAGTGAGGCATCTGTCCTTGAGCGAGAATAAAAGTTACTTTAATGGCTTTTTTAAAGATACTTTTTTAAGGGGGCTCTATGAGTCTGATTAAGTAAAGGAACACATCTAATTAATATATCTTTATTTTATATTTAAATAGTGTTCCTTTTTTCAGTTCTTTCGTTATCTTTTACTAGTCATCAATCAAGTTGATGCAAGATAATGAGAAGACTTGTGCATGGCAGAAAAACCTGTTTCTCTGAACCACTTCAGCCATAATTTATTATTATTTTTTTTAAATCAGGATGGCATGATTTAGCCCATTCTATGGTTCGATTTTAGGAACTACAAATTTGGCAAATACATTTTGGTAGCCAAACAAATAGGACAAAATGGTGCCAGGCAATACTGGCAGTAGCTAAGTAACTAGATACAGCAGTAAGCTAAACCAAGTCTCAAAAACAATGACACAATCACCCACTCCTACACAGGCACAGCTAGTGTAAAACACACAGTACCATTCTGGTACTGTCTCCTTTAAAAGCTGCAGTCAACGTGTCTGGAAGAATTCTGTTTGGAAGCATAGATAATTTGACTGCTCCTTATTTTTTCCCTGTAATGGTCAATTGTCACTTGATGTGGGAATACAATTCATTTAGTGGCTGTCCGCTAGCCATCATGAGATACATCTCACATGATTGGCATACCTTTTTTTCCATCTTGGCCAACTAAGTTGCCTTTTTTCCCTGACCAAGAGTAAACAAATAAGAAAACTGCCCCTTCTCTATTCCATCACCATTTTTTTCTATTTACAGGAATAGCACTCCAAATAAAGAATTGAAACAAGTAAGTTTGGGCTTGCGCTACTTGGTTTCCCTGAGATTCTGGCACGTGATGGTTTGGATCTCGAATTTGCATTTCAGCCCGAAATAAATCTCCAAGTCAAATAATAAGAATAAAAAGAATGGAAACTCATTTTCCTCTTGCTGCGCATATAAAAATGCTAAATTTTACAGGTGATTGCATATGTCCATGAAAGCAGATTATGTACTATTTGTCTGAAGAGGTGGGAAAGTTTACAAATGGCACCAGCTGTGTACTCAGGTCGTGGTAACAGCAAACAGTGGTAAAAAAGTGTATCATCTATGAACTAAGAATATTGAACATATAAATATATATATATAAATATATATATATACATATATAATTTAAAAGTCTAAATTTGTTTCATATCTGGCTCCATTTTATGCTGCTCCCTTCCAATCTACAATGTAACATGTAAAGTGCAGAGTACACTAGCTAGTGCTGTATAAATAAAACTATGCATTGTACCACTACTGCTCTCTCTGCACCTCCTTCTAGTGTCCGGGAAACCAATGGGACCAGCCAGGGAATGGATTCATAACAGACAGATCTATGCCAAATGGTCATTTTTGGTAAAACCCCTATAAATGGTGAGAGCTATAATTGTTTATAAATACTGTTATGGGGATATATATAATGAGCAGAGAATGGATCCTTGAAATCATGTCCACCTGCCTCTTTTCGTACAATTAGTACATGTTTTGTGTGTTTTTCTCTCTCTTTTTTTTGTTACAGCTTTGGCTGAGCATAGTCAGAAGAAGAAACAACAATTGAGGTTGGGTGGGCCTTTGAGGAGATGAGTCCTAGAATAAGCTTGCAGAGTTGGCCAGGCTAGTGTTTTTGATCGTCAATTGGTTGGTTGGGTCCTTAAATTAATCAAATTGTCTGCATTTTAATGGGCAGGGGAACCAGAGTGTGGAAACATCATCGACCTATGCAGTCATCTAATCTGTAAAGTGCTAAATACACTGGTTAGTGCTATATAAATAAATCATAAATACAGTGTACACCTACAACACTTACTTTACTTCCCTCTTTGGTGATGTAACTTGTAAAGTGCTAAGCACATCTGAAATAAAAATATGAAATAAAAACAAACTAAAAAAATAAATAAATGTATACACGCACTGTGTAACTGCTGTAGTTACTCAGGACTGGTGCAAGGATTTTGGGCTTTAAAGGAGAAGATGCATTTTGCTGCCCACTTACAAAAAAATGCATCTTTACCTGTGTGTCTCAACCCCGCTTTTGAATTTCTTATCCCATTTAGCCCTTTTTGTGTTTCTTATCTTCTCTTTTGAAAATCTTACACATTTTAGTGTGTCTTACTTCCCCCTGCCCCTTTGCGTGTCTCTTACTTTCCCCTTAGCCGATTTGTGTGCCTCTTACTTCCCACCCAGCAACTTTGTATGTCTCTTTGCCTCCCCCAGCCCCACTGTATGCTTCTTTCTCCCAAAGTCCCTTTGTGTGTCTCTTCCCCTCCTCTCCCCCTTTGCATGCCTGCTTGCCTCCTGCTGTAGGGGGGCCTCATGGACGTGGGTAAAGGTTTTCTTTATCCTGTAGCCCATGGATCAGCGCAGCTAAGAGGAATAGGCCTTGACAGAGCCAGGAGGTAGGCATAGCAGCCACAGGAATTTAGTGACAGCTAGCATGCTGGGTAGGGCGGAGCCATAAGGGGAGTATTTATACCAGCTATTATGTGAAGTGGCCATTTTAACTGAACCTAAGCTTACCTGTCAGTTGTCCCTCCCACCCTCCCTGTATTTGGTTAGGTTAGTTGATTTCCCGTTTTTTCACAGCGGCGGGGAATGGCCTGGTTAAATCGGAGGGTAGATGGAGGAGAAAGTGGGCATCCTGAGGTTTAGTGTGGATTGGGCAGTGTTGCACGTGGTTGGTAGGTTCGAGCCCGTCGGTGGCTCCGAACCTGGGGGTGTGGTGGTGTCTTGGTACACCCTACACTGGAACTGGTGGGTAGCGGTGTCTTGGTACACCCCTACAATGGATATGGTGGGTAGCGGTGTCTTGGTACACCCCTACAATGGATATGGTGGGTAGCGGTGTCTCGGTACACCCCTACAATTTAACCTGGTGGAAATGTGGTTAAATTGGACGGCCAGTTTCTGTGTTAACATGTTATTTATATTGTTATCTATTGTTATTATTGTGGGGTCATTGCTAGGGGTATGTTATGTATATGGGGGAGGTTAACATTATTAAGATTTGTTGGCAATGACCCCATTTGTTATTCCTTAATTATTTATTAATAATTTAATAAAGCTGTGGACAAATTATTTCCAACAGTATAACCTGTGTCCGTGTTTTAATGGGGGTTGGGGTAAGGTTAGCGCATATGCCGGCAAATCCGACTGTGCGCCTGTCATGTGCCTGGTCTGACAGGAAGTTGCTCGCCATTCCCAATGAGCAACTTCCTATACTGAGTAGAGATTTAAAGGGATCCCTCTGCCGCAGTCTATAAGGCCATGCTACATAGAGTGACTGGCAGCAATGCGAGCACTGAACTACTTACTGTACCTACCTCTACTGACATTGCATCTAAAGTGCTATGTCTGTCTGTTCCGCATGCATACACACTTACTGTTCAATTCCAAAACCTAACATCAGAATCCATATGCAATTATTCTATAAAACCCTGTTTGTTCATTGTGGCCTATGTGCAAGGAGTTTAACCTGCCTGGTATTTCTACCGAATAAGGGTTAAAACACAGATTGCGTAGTTAGTACACTAGAGAGGCAGACAGCCTGTTGAACTGGGTTTTTTAAGCTTTCAGCTCATTCTACAACACAATCCACACTGTCTGAGGCTGGGAAGAATAGAAGGCAAAGATGTACCTTAACAAAAGGCTATAAACCTTGGAAAACCTTTTGTTTTCATCCAAGTCTACGGCCACTAACATTATTCCCTTTCCTCTGCGGCCGGAGTACATGCACCGTCCTCAGCAATAGAAAAGGCTCTTTTTACATTCTAATGCGACCTTAGTGCTTTTCACAAATCACAGACGCATCTGACTACACTTGAGGTTGAATCGAGCTAATGGCATTCACCTCGTCTTTAGATGCAAAATTGGGAGATAAAAAGGGCTTGATGTGAAAAGGGAAGAGGGGGGTGCAGCGAGACAAGATGGGTGGGTGGGTACATTGGGGCAGAAGCAGCAGGAGATTAGCGATATGGCTCAAAAAAATCTTATGATTGTGAACTGATAGTAAAATGCCTTCTCTTTCTTTCTCTGCATAAAAAAATTAAATAAAATAAAAATTTCATGGCCCTTCGAGATGTCCTCCGTTTTTTTTTTTTTTTATGATAGAATCTTTTTTATTCTCCAGCTGAAGAAAATTTCAATGTTGCTGCATTTGTGTCCACGAGATACCTTGACCTTTAACAAATCTTACTTTTTAAATCAGATGAAATGGTTATTGCAATATTCTTGGCCCTGTAAGATTAAAAAAGAAGCTTTCTTCCGTAGTAATCAGACCTGGATTACATTTATTAAAAGTGCAGCATCTACATTTAAATGACACTTGTCATTCTCGCAGAATTATATTAAATCCTCTGCAGCACCGTCTGAATTTTAACCCCAGCTAAACCTAGCAAAATGTCGAAAAATACGTCTTGCCTCTATCCTTACAGGTGTCTGAGCTCATATTATAATAATAATAATAATAAAAAAAAATTTTTTGTAATAATATATTCAGCAATTATATCAGGGGTTGGAGATGTAATATAGATGGGAATTTTACTTGCTTGTAACTAGATTAGCACTTTCACTCAGCCTCACATTTAACCCTTGCCTGTGCTGTGAACCAAAAGTCATTAGTTTAAACATTTATCAGAAACATTGCACTGGTTTTCAATCTGTACAATTTCTGGATATTAAGGTTGTTTTATTTTAATTGCTGTCCCATCCTTTTGACTTCAGACTTTTTACATATGATTTGCTGTTGCATGAAATATCCTTCCTTATTCCACAGTAATAACCTCTTCCACAAAAACTGGATTTTGTAAGGATGGACAGATCTGGTTCAAATGGCTGAATTCCTACTTGAATAGCAATGTCCATATTTACTAAAGCCAAAGCCGGTCTCAATTAGGTTGGTCCAAACAAATCTGCAACATTAGGCCGGATGGCATTTAATTTCCAGATTAACCTCTGTGTTTTTCGTATCTGAACCCTAGAAGAAGTAAAGGATTTGGAATATTCAAAAAAACTGATTCCAAACAAAATTGGAATCAGCATAATGCACATTTGCAAATGATCGCTCACTAGCTTTTTGCAAGGATGAACCATATTTCAGTCAGAGCGTACTAGCCAGCCAAATTATTGAAATGTAAAATGATTAAATAAAAACAGCCTATGGTGGTTAGTTAGACCCCCATATTACAGAAAGGAGTTTTTAGACCTCCCATATGCTTGAACCTGTCATGTTGCAGGTGGGGGCATATCTCTAAGCATTTAAAACTAGCATCTGGGTCCTGTGGGCATCTGGTGGGAAACGTTAAATTAAATAATGGTTGTATATTTCACTGATCACTCCATTGCCCCTACCTGTGGCCAGTGTATGGGACTATTAAAGAGAAAAATGGGGAGGTCATACTAAGGTCCCTCTTACCCACACCCTTGGTCAATGGGTGGGGGATACTTACTAAATAGGTTGGAGGACCTAGTGCCATCCATAAACCCTACTGATTGGCATTGGGTGGGAGTTATTATAATACGTTTAAATAAAACAGGGGTTTCCATCCACCTGGCAGCATTTGGTCTGGCAAGCTGTAGTGGTTACGATGATTATGATGATTGGAGTAACACTTTAATTATGGATTCATGTATATATTTGGTGTTCTAGGTGCTTTTTAATATGGATAGAACAGGTAGCTTTGTACACTATCATTTGGTAGGGAGTCAACATTTGAGGACTATAAATGTGTTCTACTACCTAGTTTGAGGTCCTCAATCATTAGCCTTGACTTCCATGTTTCAGTAACTGAGCCTCAAGGAAGAGTCAGGTATACCTCTGGTGTCGGAAGGGCATGAATAAGAAGGAGAAAAATCTCCAACTTTAGCATGTGATGCCTAAGCCTCAGAAGAACTTAATATATTTGGACTGATTAGGGTAGACTTAAGAAGACAGGTCTACTTTACCAAGAGGGAAAAAAGCCTTAGGAGTGGTCTACAGTCTGGATATACTTACAATCTATGTTCAGGATTGAAACAAATTATCCGTTGTTGATAGATATCAGAATGTACCATTATATTATCACCAGAATGAGCTAGCACAGTGTAGAACATACATTGATCGGGTTAAAGAAAAAACCCATTTGAGGTTGAAGACGCACATCTCTTTACTAATACTGAAAGGCATTACACAATATACATCACTCATAGAAACACATTACAAACTAATATACAGATAGTATCTTACACCTTCTAGACTGTTTAAATTACAATTGACAACACCAATTAATGTTGGATGGGTTGTGGGAGGGTTGGAACATATCTTGTGGACATACCTTAAGATAACTAAATTCTGGAAAGACATACATAAACTCATTCAATCCCCACATCTTTGTTTATTTATAAATTTATCGGAAAACAAAAGTCAAAGAGTTATGTTGGGTCATCTCCTTATTTCTGCTACTTCTGTAATCGCACAACACTGGAAATCATCAACTGTCCCTTCAGTTAGCGGGGTATTACAGCTCCTTTTTGAAAACAAACATTGTAAGCTGGCTACAAGACTGCCATCGGACGCAAATACCACCTTACAACTTGTTAGGGCGATTCGGGAAGAAGATATTAGGCGTCAATATCATATTTAGTTTTTTCCCCCCAACCGGTCACCAAACATCGTAACATATTTTTATTGTTAATTCACTTTGCAACACATTATGGTTGCTAAATAAGGCACTACCAATGGTACAGTTATACTTATTATTGTACAATTTCTTTAAATCATTTATATTTTTTCATTTTTAAATAGTATTGGATGATTTATAGTACTTATATATTTTGTATATGTTTCCCTTTTCCTTGTTTGTTTGATATTATCATTATTACTATTATTATTATTATTGTTTGGTTTCATTATTATATTTAAAACTTTCAATAGGACATTCGATAAAAAAAAGAAAAAAATTATAAACCCATGCTCAAGGAAACTAGACTGTAAACATTACACAAACTGGGATATCACCATAAAGAGCAAATGGACATTTGAGGAGACAACATGCAATATATTTTAATAATTAGGTTAGTTATAATCCAGGGATAGGAGTTAAGCTTTGATGATACTTGTACCAACCCTAGAAGGAATTAAAAATTCAGGGTTCTTCTGTGTTGTAGCATTGATTAGAAGACTATTAAACAAATGATACATCAATTTTAATATAGGAATGAACTGCTTTTTGACATACACACAATTCTAACATGGACACAAACACATACAATGGCTTCTTTAATATTGAATGTAAGGTTGGCTTGCAGAATTTGCTTTTGCGATATATATATAGATATGCCTGGCTTTTCTTCTGATTGTGATAAGTTATTTTTGAAACCCGGACCAGAAATATTTCAAGCGGTAGTTATTTTCCAGTTAATTACAGCAGGTTCCTAAGCAAGCCGATGTACGTTAGGATTTGAGATTACCGTACTTAGTGTGATT